CTTCTTCTTTTTCTAAGTCTTGATTCTTGTTAGATTTGTTATTTTTGCGATATTTGCGATATTTGCGGACATTTCGTGGCCCTTCTTGGCTTCTTCTCTTTCAAGGTCTTCATTCTTGTTGGATTTGTTATTCTTGCGATTTTTGCGATATTTGTAAGTGATTTTCTGACGTAATTTCTCCTCAATTATTTCTTTTGCGACAATTGCGAAAAAAAATTGCTAGAAAATAGATTGGGGACAAGGCATGTTTTTATTCGAATAAAGATGGTATTGTTTCTGTACGCTCTCGTATTTTGCGATCAACTACCACCAATAAAACTACTTAGCATATTTAGGGGGGGAGGGGTTATTTAAGGATGAAGGCTTATAGTTCAAAATTCCCGAGAGCCAGCTACTGCTGCGGGTTCTGGATAATCAAACAGTGTGACACGAAGTGCACACAGCGTTGTAGGGCAAATGTTACAGAAAAATTTTGCGAGTTCCGTTGACTGAGAGAAGGGTGAATGTCTCCATAAGCAATGAGCTGGAAGCCACAAAAAGGATGGTTGCTGTACACAGATTACTTATATAGGCGTGAGGAGTGTTTTTGGTATAAATGCGCTCAAGTTACTTGATGTACCTATACCAGCAATACATTTACATTTCATTTTATTTATTATCTAATATTTAGACGACATACATTTTATTTTTTTTTTTTTTTTTTGTTGTTTTTGTTTTTTTTTTTTTTCAATTTTCAATTTTATTATTCACACTATTATAAAATATTTACATTATATATAGTAAGGTAGGAATACACTAATAAAGGAGAAGAAGAAGGGAAAAAAGAAAATTAATGGCTTGGGTAGAAGTGAACGGTGGTCAGAGGAGCTTAGCGTTCGCGCTAACCACCGCTAACCACCGCTTCCAGACGCAAAAAATAAAAGACAAAAGTAGTAGAAAAGCAAAATACGAAAGTGCGTAAAGGAAATATTACCTAAGTAGTAAAACAAAATTCAATTTTTTTGTATTTTTTCCCGTAGAAACCTGCTTTCTTTTAGTATCCACAACGCCGTGTAATGGGCAAAAAAAGGGAGGTTCCATGCATTTACCACTTCTTAAGTGATTTTTTTAGTCATGTGGTGACTAAAAATTGTAATTTTAATTTAGATAACTGTGCAATTATCAATTGCTTTCTACCTGCTATGCATTCTACAATAGATGGTTTGACAGAAATACAAATGTAGACAATGATTACATCTTATAGTGATCTTTAGCTAAATTGATCATAAATGTAACAATTAAATGTTTTTTTCTTAGCTTCCCGAGTGATATTTTTGCCTAAAGTTCGTTAGTGTTTATCTCGAGATCTAGTTTGTCCCTCAGAATAAACATGGTTGATGAAAACTACTCTCGGCTATTTTTCTGCGCGTATTACACTTTAGGTGCACTCTCCAAGGTAACAAACATGTAGTTATAATTGAATTTGGAGCTGTTGGGGACCTGTGACGTCATAATTTTATATCGGCCACCATCTTGAAATGTAAAGAGAAATTTCGATTCATGCATTCAAATCAGAGTTTGCAATCTAAGCATTTCTTGTTTTCAGGTTCTAAAGCATTTTTTTACAGCGCTTTTCACAAACACGCAAACTCTAAAGTACAAAAGCCGGCTTCACAATTGCGTTTTTCAATCATAATTACGATCACATGTAGGGAAATCTCTATTCCTCATTAGCTCGGCTTCTCGGAGATTTTCCCGCCACAGTCACTCCTCTCGAGTAATGTGCAAATTTTAAATTCAATGTTAATTAACCTATTTATTATCGTTTTTATTCTGCTTGTAATTCATTGTGTGGCAAAATAATAAATAAATAAAAATCACAAGCAACGAACCTTGAAACACAGACACACACAAAACGGATCGAAATCCACCAATCACAGATCACAAACTTTGACCTATTGAACAGGCCGTGAAAGTTCTGTTTCCTAAGAGGTCCGTTGAGAGGATTGACGGCAGCACGCAAACGTCAGTTGGCTTTTGAAATTCAGAGTTCGCCTGCTTTTGAAAAGCGCAGTAATTAAAATTGCCTTTCTTTGGTAACGTTTCATAAGTTTTTTCAAAGTTCGGATTTATAACTTAAAAGGGGCCTCCCACGCCTGCCGCCCAGGAGCCAGTGCCTAGGTACCGGCACAAAACAGTCAGGTGTTCACACCTTGAGTACAATACAAGTCTCCACCTTGTACTCGCGTACTGGCACCATGCTTGAATTCTAGTGTGGGTACTTTAAACAAAGGGTATGTTCACTTTAGAAGAAAAGAATAAAACTTATACATGTACATAATTCTCTGCTGAAAACTTATACATAACATAATTACGGCTAGTTCCAAATGGTTTAAATTCGCCGTGTTGCTACTAAAACGATTATAAAAAAAGATAAGCTTGTGGTCCACGGCAAGTAGAGTGCTCCTTTCCTTTCTTTGCTGGTTCGCATATCTTGGTAACAAACTGAGTTTTCTGCTTAAGCTGTGATGGAGATATACACGACAATCATGGTGATTTCACTAGGCTCTCGGTACTTATGGGCATAACTTCAATTTTTCGCAGGGAAAGGATTCCGCTGCTGCTGCCATTCAGGTCAGAGTGTCTTTTAACGCTTGTAGTTCCATTGCTGGCAGCTGGAAATATCACCCGTATTCTTCTTTTGAACCTCTCTCTGATCTGCGGGATAATCAAAGACAATTAATTCAAAAGATCGCTCCCTGCCAAGTCCGTAAGGAAGTTTGGACGGACGGACGTACGCTGACGTCATAACCAAATTTTCTCGTATCGATCGATAGGTTTCCATTTTCTATAGCAATGGGGGCTCCGCCACCCGCGCGCGGAGGTTCCGCTATCAGCTGTCTCTGGTGCTATTGGTGTCTTTGGGTCATGAGAACTTTCCGTAATAAACAGGTGTTCGTAATCGAGGGGTTTGATCGTAAATTCCTTGTGATTTTGGTTCTGTGTTTGGATCCGAGTTACTAAAAACATTGCTTAACTTATAATTCGGCAACACGAGATGATAAAATTTGCAATCATTTAACATTTTGTTCTTACCTCACTATTTCTCACACAGTGAAGAAGAAAGATGGAAAATCCCTGCGGGTAGGAAAATAAGAAAGACTATCACCAAAGTTTTCCAAAAAATGTACTTATATAATCCTTGGCCATCTTCAGTGAAATAATTTCAATCTTCTTTTAATTTCTTGACTTTGATTTGTGATTAAGTATTTGCTTTTTAAGCTAAAAAATAGGTGCGCAAAGAATGGGGCTCGCATCTCACCTGAGTGGAATTGAAGATAACAAAAATGTAAGCGAATGCTTTGTGGGCTGACGATAATGCGCCGAATAACCACGTGACCCCAAGTAAGGGAATTAGCACCACGCAAGCTCTGATTCCAAGTCTGCAAAATAAATAAGATATTCAATTAAATATACATAAATCTCGAAGATAAACAGACGAATCGTTGTTTCCAACGTCCCAACTTTTTTAGCCTTACCCGCCATCAGTGGAATGCCGATGGTGTTGTTGCAGCTAAGTCATTGTGTCGTCAATTAAAAACGAAGGGAATTGCACACAATAGAGCAGTTTGAGTAGTGATAATGTAATGACATGACCACTTAACGACCAAACAATGTTTTGTTCTCAAAAGGAATCTTTGCTTCATTCAAGCCGGGCGTGTAACAAATACAGTATATTACATGTACTTACACATGCCTGTTAAAACAAGCAATAAAATCTGTGAGACCTTATCTGTTCTCCTTGGTTGTCCTTTGTTTGTTCCATTTTTGTCATTTCTCTTATAACTCTCACCAAAATCAACAAGTTTATCTGAAAAAAATAACAGAGTTGAGAAAATAGAAAACCTAAATTGGAATATCAGAACACCGCCCACGTGATGGTGACTGAGGTAATCTTTGTCGTTAAAACAAATCCTTTAAACCACTTTCTTTGTTTTTCTTTTAGTGCGTTTTCGTGTCACTATTTTTTTTATCAGATTAAAAAAAAATACTGAGTGAACTTACGATCTCAATTGCAAGAACAAACGAGATGAATATCCAGATCAATCCGTTAGAAGAAGAAATCCAGCAGCTAAAACGAAAACAAAATAAATTATAAAATCTTCCAGTGTGTGTGCGTGTTGGAAATCAAAAGGACAAATGTTAACTGATATATCTATTCTCATATACGAACATTCACCCAAGCAAAATGAAACTTCATTCGCACTAAAGAATATTGTTTTCGATAAACTGCTATAGAAATTGGCCTTACTTATGAAAAAATCCTTAATGACTATGCTACAAAATCAAATGTTTGCTCTCTTGGCGAAACTGTTGATATAAATTTATTAAAATCAATAATATTTACACGTTTATACTACTACATGAGAAATTTCTGCAATTTGATTGGCTTATATTAGAGCAGTGGTATTTCAGCTTAACTCGAAATACCTACATGTGAAAATTACAAACCTCTTGGGGGTAGTAGTATAAACAAATAATAGCATGATTTGTACGTGATATTTGGCAAAAATACCACTCGTTATATTTCAAAGAGGTCTTCTAACGGCTCGTTAAATAACGTACAACAATTTCGAAATATCACTCGTGGTATTTATGCCAAATATCACAACAAATCATGCCATTACCTATACTAATAAAAACTGATTTCCCCGTAACGAAGGGCAAATGGTGTATGTACGAGAAAGGGTATGGGTATTTCACTCTTATAGGTAAACGAAAACGATGTATCTTTACGTATTCTACTTTTCAGCTCTTTACTTCTTACTATTCATCGCTGACAAAACTTGTGATTCCGTCCATCCCGGCAGCAACACTGAGCGATAAAGTGACCATTGCTGCAGGAAAGCCTGAAGTAAAAGGTGTGGCGGGAGGAGTGCAATTATAAAATTTACATGAACATTCAAAATATTAATTCGGGTTTAACGCATAAACTCAAAAGTGCGAACAACACTCTACACACACTGAATAACAAGCATGAAACTTTAAACACACGTTGAAGTATTCGCGAGGATAATTGTCGACAACTATAAGGTGAAACATCGATAACATTAGAATGTCATTTATGCAAAGGTCGTCAGAAAATGAGTTTCAGGGATTTATCAGGAACAAAATTTGAAACTTGGGTCTGTCAATTTGGCTTCTTCGATAAAATTTAATTGAAACGTTGACGCTATTGTGTTCCTTTTTTCGCCGTTACATTCAGTCTTACGTCCGACACTAGTTTCATCCTCGTCTTTGCCCAAACCTTGAGAAATTAAAATGCAAATTTATCCCTTTACACCTACCCCATGAAATTCCGTGACAAATTTTCATCTTACTGCTAACGTTGTAAACTTTGACAACAAACAAGTAAAGATAAATTCCCTCCATTAACATCCAACAGAAAGCCGTCATAAGGAAATATTGAATCAGGGCCGCTGCTGTCACACAGACGCCCTGCAAAGTACAACATATATAGCCTGAAATTCATCCGATAGCTTCGAGTCGTTTTCTCCTCTCAACAACGTCTGAATCGACCGGCCGTTAATGCCATCCAGTGACGTCACCACTCCTTGGCCTTTGCTTTAATTCATGCAAAAACTAAAACACGATTTTGAAGTGGCAAACCGAGAAATATCGTTTGGAAATGTCTGCATGGTACAGAATTGCTTTATTTTTTCGATCGTAGTTCATGTTTAACGTTCAAACTACCAACCGCATGCAGTACAACTCTGAAGATCTCTGAACCGGTTATACTGAATTCTATTATCAAACTAGGTCGCAATCACGCAATGAAATTAACACACACGCGGAACACTTAGTTCAAAAACACAATGATTTGTTAAAAAATTGAAAAAAAGCCTATTTGGTCCTTAACGAAGAAAAAAACAAGGAAACAAGAAAGAAAAGCTAACAGAATCATAACACTTGACGGTAAAAATAGCAAGAAGGTCGAATTATAATATTGATCTCAGAAAACTTCGCGTAAACAAAATCACGAAACAACAAATTGGCTCCAAATGAAAAACCTACCGACTCCCCGCAATGATTCTTCATTAGCAGTTCAATTTAGCATTTCAGTTTCGAAGACAAGGACAATTTTGCTGTTTAAGATAAAGATTAAGCTTATCGAAATGTTTGAACTACGCGAAAGAATGCCAGGGATGCGGTCAAGCGACAATCCCGCTAAATTTTTCATAATTATACATAATTATGCGAATGTTTAGGCAATCAACCAATCAAAATCACTACCCGGTTTTCGGGTAGTGAGTGACGTCACTGGACGGCATTAACGGCCGGTCGATTCAGACGTTGTTGAGAGGAGAAAACGACTCGAAGCAATCGGATGAATTTCAGGCTACAACATATAGTCAAAACTCGCATATTGGAAGGACAATGTTATCACCTTGTACCTTTAGTTTCCAGGACGAAAAATTCCAGGAAAACACCCCAGAAACCTTCGATACTTAGATTGACCAGGCTTCAATGTAACAGACTTTTACAAGAGTAATTCACAAGCGTAGCCATTATTGTTTTAGAGTCTGAAAACAATAGCTACACTTGTAAAATGCACTTGTAAAAGTTCTATTAAATTGACCGCGGGTAATTTTTAACACCCCATCTTGCCCTATGTTTCCATTTCAGTAATAGTAAATGGCATCCACAAAAAAACGTCAGACATTTAAAGTACAGTATGTGGACTGAATTTGCTACCCTAGGGCCTTTTTAGATGGAGGACCCAAAATAGGTGAGGTAACCCGCTTTGGTGGGGAAACCCGCCTGTCCATACAATCTCTGATATTCATTTGATCGCTCTTACATGATAGGTGGGATGACAATATGAGAAATTACATGGACAAGTCGGTTACCCCACCATAGCAGGTTACCTCACCTACCTGGGGTCCCCCACCTCCACGTAAACAGCCCTTAGAAACGAGAAGGAAAGTGGAGCAGATATGCTTCCAGGAATTGTTTCTGGGATCCTTAATAGGGACTTTAAGATCCAACGATGCCAAGGCAACGAGAACGTCTCGTAAAAAGTAAATTTGCGTTCTTTTAGTCTTTTTTCGCGATTATTCCTACCCGCTTACTTCGTCAAATGTAGGCTAACCCTCCTGAAGTTGAATTCCAAGGGACCATATCCAAGTTCAGAAAGAGAAATAAAATTTCGCCGTTACTTGTTTACGTTCTCCGTAAAACACGAAATTACGCAATTTCACGTCGTAGTCGTGCAAAAACAGCAAGAGAAATGTACAAAAAGTGTGATGCACGAGCAAAATTGTTGTTTTGCTTATTAAAGCTATTGTTTTCTTTGACGTTCTCGTTGCGGTCTCGTTGTTAGATCTTAAGGTCCCTTATAATTACTGGGAACGCGCTGGTCAGATATTGGCCTTTTTTCCGTGTTACTAGTAACAGTCCCAAGTCTTCGCGAATGTTAATCCGGCCTATTTCACTTCTCGTTGCTTAAGTGACGAATTGACCACTACAGAAAATGCCATAACACACCATAATACTTCTTGCTAGTCACTCCAAAATTTTGCATAAGCATTGTCTTCAGTTTCTCTTGGGAGTTAAAATGGCCCCACGACGGAAAATGAAAAGAATGCTCCAGCAAACTTTTGGAGTGACTAACGAAGAGTATTATGGTACATTATGGTATTTTCTGTAGAGGTCAATTGCCTAAAGTGATTATGATCAGCGCTTAAAAGAGTTCTCACCTTGTTTTCAGTTGCTCCAATGCCTGCGAGGAAGATTATTTGGCCCACTCCAAGGGAAGCGACAAGACTTATCCGGATTTGTGACAGTGGTGCTTTAATATCGCTGTGTAAAGATAAACAACTATATTGTCTTCAACAAAACCACTCTGGGTGGGTCTAACAAAGGAATGTCTCTAAATGTGTATTATAGCAATGCAACGCAATAAAGCGTCTTTCCGTTCACGTGACCAGTTTCTATGCAAATTTATTGGAACAAAAGAAAGTGTTTACATAAGAAAAGAGTTCAACTCCCACAAGACTGGTTTGGAACACCAACATGGCCGCCTTTTTATAGTTTTTATTTTTTTTTTTTTTTTTATTATGGTCTCCGTTACGTCATATGAAAACGCTCTATACAAAACAAATTATCATATAATACAATACAATACATTACAATTCAACACAGTAAAATACAATGCAATACATTACACTACCCTACAATGCAATGTTACACAATACAATACAAAGCATTAGAATAAAGTACAAGACAAGACAAGATAAGATAAGATATCATGAGATAAGAAAAGAGAAGAGAAGAAAAAATTAAAGACTAAGAAGGGATAACGTTCAAAATTTGGGCTTAAGGAGTCGTGTTGAAACATTTGATTATGTTTTAAAAAGATATTAGATGTACTTACGTCAGAAATGCGTAGCAGATTATTGTCGCTATGATTCCGATTAAGGAAAGGGTAAGACCCAACTGGGTCAGAATATTCAGCACCTTTTCATCTTTCTACATACAAAACAACCGAAAAACCATTTAATCTCCACCGTACCAGACACATGCATGAATGGATGCCCCCCTTACATGCAGGCTAATCTTGCTCTCAAGAGCCCGACGTTCTTTCCAGCAGCTGGCACCCAGGCTTATTTTTCGCCGAATTTGTTCTCAAAAACATTTCGAGGTATAACCTCTTTCTTTTGTAAGATCTGTTCACTTTTTAATTAAATATTTGCAGGACAAATAAAAGTGATATTCTCCGTCCGTACGGTTACGAGATTAGGCCTCACAAATGCAGTGAAACCGGGTCATTTGATGATTTTGGCGGCATTTCGATTTTTAAGAAAAAGTGTCCTCAAAAACACGCTTATAAAAACGCCACTGTTACACAATAAAACGATAATTTTCTAGGCGCAACTATTTATTCTTAGGCTACTCAACAGGCGTTATTGGGGTGCTCAGGCGGGTTTTAAGACGCCAGTAGGAGGCGTTAGACAAGAGAGAGGAGGGAAAAGAGAGAAATGTTGCCTCTCTCTCTCCCAATAGAAACCAGCGTTCGCCAGATGAACGTTTCGAAGAGAGAGAACAATAACCTGTCTACAGGCGTTATTTTTCTCTTTTTCCCCCTCTCTCTTGTCTTGCACTCAGGTTTGCTCCCCGAAACCCGCCTGAGTGACCCCAATAACGCATGTTGTATAACAACATGATTAATCGACTAGAAAACCAAAACACAGGGTCTGGAAGGATACTGCCGATCCGGGATCTTGACAAAATACAGTGCGGGATTTGGGAAGACATTGATAGGATTCGATATTTGACGGGAAGCGGGTAGTTAGAAAGTAGTGGATGTAGACCCCGATGGTGTGGCCAGCCTTTCCTCGGTGTCTGGAAGGGTATTTCCGGGAAACAGGATGTGAACAAAATACAGTGCGGGATTTGGGAAAACGTTGACGGGACACAGAATGTGACTGCCAGACGAGAAGTAAGATAAGCTGAAATTTGGCCACGGATGCGAGTTTGGAAAAAAATGATATTCGAAATAGCGATGAAAAAAGTTTGGGATGTGCGTTCAGGACCCTCCTTTCCAGACCCTACAAACTTACTTCTGTTCTTTCTGTCTTGTACCCTACATTTTGCAATCTACTGTATTGGCCAGTTTTCGGTTCAGAAAATGTGTCAAACTGCATTAGAACTGCAAAGTGAGTTAAGTGATTGCAGCTGCATTCTGTCCTGGAGTCATTCAACCATTTGACATGACATCCTCGTCCTGACCAACCTACAGGGCTTCACGAACAATAAAATAAGTCACCAGCACAAGCAGGCAACTTTTTTACTTTTAAAAGTAAAAACTGCCGTTTTCGACCTTGCCGTTCATTTTCAAAGCCAGGGGACTGGGTTTGAAAATGCTCCAACCAAAAGGAGACGGAGTACTTCGATATCCCAGCTTCCAATATTGGATCCGCTGTTAAAACTCGCCCTCCGTCGGTACACCATTTATTCAATTTCTCTTCAACGCTAACATTCCTAGCATTTAATGTGCCACACTCCCTCGAGCTTTACAGGGATACGCGATATACGTATTTCTAGTTCCTAACTGGGACAGTTCACTAGCTAACTAAAGTGTGGAACACAACAATCCCGTGTCATGTCATATCATATCATCTCATCCTGTCCTGTCTTATCACATTAAGGCGCTAACTAAAGCTGTGACAGACTTCGCGGGATAAATTATTTTGTATCTAGGGAAGCGGTGTGGACAACTGTCGGCAGGCTTTAAGAAGAACTCGGATATAAATCTCCTCCTAACAAAAGCTGGATTTGAAGTTTCTCGGCCACCCCGAGTTCAACTCCTCCCCCGTGCTTGTAAACAGCGAACTGGTTGCTTCTTGACAGACCTTACAGCTGGGGTTTTTAGTCCTTTTAGTTCTGATCTATTTAACTTGTAGCCTGAGAAAACAGCCGACATTTGGCTACGCTACGTGGTTTCGCCACCAAATGACGTGTGAGAAACGACCGCAGAAATTCCATACTGATGACGCGTCACTACCCAGATCTGGGTAGTGCTTCTGATTGATTGAATCATATTTCCCCCGCGGTACGACCAATCAAAAGCACTACCCAGTTCTGGGTAGTGACGCGTCATCAGTATGGAATTTCTGGGCTCGTTTCTCAGACGTCATTTGGCGGATGAACCAGTGGTAGCGTCGCCAAATGTAGGATGTTTTCTCAGGCTATTTAACTTGAATTGTTTGTCGTTTCTTCGTATTTACGTGTACCGTCTGTAAAATAGATGAGGTGCATTTCCACCGTAGTTAAACCATTTACGATTTCCCATCTACTTCTTCCCCAAATTATAAGTCTAATCCATATGCCAAATCTATAAGACTGTGAACTTCACCGCTAAGTCGGCACTTGTTACGCTACAGTGGCTTACGAAGATTTGAATTTCGAGGTCGATGATCTGGCTACGCATCGGTAATCGCAACCTTTGTTTCTCGAATAATAGAGGCACGTCACCTTAAACAATAAAAAAGACCTTAAAAGTAGCGAAAACCCCTGTCATTGTTAACCCAAAATTGCAATCCAAGTTTTATACGAATAGGCATTCACAACTTTAGAAACGAGAAGAAAACTGGAGCGGAAATGTATCCCGCAATTGTTTATGGGATTGTTGTTGGAGACGCACCGGTCAGCTATAGGCCAATTTTTTCCCCTGTTTGAAGCAACAGTTAGCTCGTCCCAGTTTCTTTCTCTTTTTAAAGTGGCGAATTTTCTTTTATACAATTGTGTCGCACTTGCGGTTCAATTTACCTGTGTTCCAAAAAGTTCCAAAATACACACTCTCTTTTCCTTGTTGCCTTCTAAAATCGAAAATCAAACGAACCCTGTTATGATTTTCAGTACATCTCAGTTTAGCTCGTCAAAACGTGGCATCAGGTTTTAAAATATTAGATATTCCTCTACGAATAAAGAACTTAATGTGATGAAGTACCAACAAAAGGGGTTTTGTTGAGTTATACGAGCCTAAGAATTTGTTAGGGTAAGTCCAGAGCAAAAATACGCATTGGCTTAAGGATTTATTGAATTAATGGCCATGTCAGTACGTACTGTCAGTAACTATCCCGTAGATATCCAGGTATGCGAATAATTAGATAACCTAGGAAGTGTGACAGTGTGACGTTTCCCTGCAACGTTGAAGGATGAGTATTAATTGTTGGTGACATGATCATAGTGTTGAGACTCTTGCTGAAAAGCAAAGGAAATAATAACACTTGAGAGTCACTGAAGAAATCCACTTTTTCTAAATAGCATAAAGAGAGATTATTATAGGTCCATAGGCGAAAAACGTTAAGACCTGGTATCTCTCCCTAAGTTAATGTAGCAGTGTAAGTGACGGTTAAGAATATGCCCACTAAAAAACCATTCTGTAACACGGATTCCATTTTAGTGCTGGTTTGTATGTAGATTAGGGTGGAGAATAGTGTCCTTTCGTAAGGAAAACCTCACTTTGGAACAGAGTTTGGACAGAAAATGTGCACAAACACATCAATTCTTTAAAGACCTCAAGAAACCTACAGTTAAAAGTCTTAGAACAAGAAGAACGTACGACAGTGGACCCCGACATTAAATATTTTGCAGCTAGCTAGACATAGCTTGCTTGTACTCTCGAGTGTTCCGAAAGCTAGTTAGACTAGCTAGTACTGACCTTGTTTTGTTAACCATTGTATTCGTTTGGTTTACGAGAAACAGTTCTTGGAGTCTTTTATAGATGACACCGAGAAAAATTGAACCTGAAAAAAAAGCGATCCATACTAACGTGATAACGGCAAAAGCACGGCTTCATACATGCTTAAACTGTTTTCTCAATTTTCTCCTTAAGTTATCAGGACAAAATCACAAAAAAGGTTGAATAAAAACTGAACTAATTCTGTAAGGAAATGTATGAAGATCAGTTTAAGGGATTTGTATGTCAACACCGCGGGTAGCACAAGTTAGAGTAAATATCTCCAGCGGGACGAAAACAGAGGCCGTTATAGTAGAAACCGGCTGTGAAGCGTTTTCTCTCACATGGACGGCGGCTGTTTTAGTTACTACTGAGATAACGAATTTGCTTGCATACCGTTATGACTGAAATCTTCTGAAGGAATTTTGATGTAGTTTTGTCCCTCTGGATCAAAGAGATCAAGTTGGCTCCCGTTATCGTAGACTCCTTTTCTGACCTGTAAAGCTATTATACAATAACTTTAGTAAAGTGCAGAGAATTTATGCATGTGAAATTATTGTTACTGTTAAACTCCTTTTTCGAAACCTTCACCGTAGTTTTAACCCTGCAATGATGACTATATAATTTGCTCTTTTCACTCATGACTATACCACATCTTAGGATATGCAAAAAATTTCGCGATTCTCTGGATTATTGTTATTCTTCTCTGTGATAACTACCGGAGCTTGCGTAGTAGCAAGAGTGGTAATCTGCAAGCCGTTTTATTTTCTTCGTATTTAGTTCAAAATAGGGCCGGGATCATGGTCCCAAGCGTTCCTAGCGGAGACCGTCGAAACTATGAATTAAAGGCATCGCGATGTGACCGACAACATAACACTTTCCAGAGAACTCTGAATGTTCTGTGAAGAAAACTTTGGAAAGATTAATGCAAAAGATGTCGACATGTTTTTCTGGAACGGGTAGGTCTACGAATTCTATCGCTTGAAAGCGCTGATTACTTTGCTGGGTTCGTTGGTTGAGTGTGGTAAGCTTTCATTGCATGCTAATGAGTCTCATGATGAGCATGATAGATGATGTGGGGAGAGGGCATTGGCTCTAGAAGTCGCCCAGGCCTTTCCGCTTTCATGCCATCACATAAGTCAGTTTAATGTCCTCTCCGCAGATTTTACTTGTCAAGTTCCCGTGCAAAGGCTCATATCTTCAGTCCCAATTATAAAGGAATTATGCGCAGCTAATAATTTTCACTACGCAATGATTTAATGGACTAGACTGTACTGGTGCCGTACTCGACTCCATTGGATGGGATGCTCATTCTTCTGTAGGGGTCTTTAGGAATTCTCCCCCCAAAAAGGTTGGTGCATGGGCACCTGCCCACCAAGTCCCTTTTACTCCTAAGGCCATTTCTAACGGACACCACACCAAGACAGACACCTCCTGTTGGTCCTTGGTTTTCCAGTCAGCATAATAAAACTAGGGACTCTCTATAAGGCCGAAGAGGACTTCGGAAATCGGGCATCAAAGATCAGACATTAGACATCGGACATCGGACATCAGACATTGAGCAACGGATATCAAACATCGGATACGGACATCTGACATCTGACATTGGACATCGGATATCGAAATGAGACATCAGACATCGGACATAGCACACCGGATATCAGACGTCAGACCTCAAACCTTAGACATCTGACATCAGGTATCAGACTTCAGACATCAGACATCAGACATCAGACATCAGAAATCAGAAATCACACATCAGAAATCGGACATCAAACATTGGACATCAGGCATCAGAAATCAAATATCAGACATCGGCCATCGTACACGGGACGTCAGACGTCACACATCGGACATCCGATATTGCACACCGGACATAAGACGTCAGAAATGGGACATTGGACATCAGGCATCAGACATCACACATCGGACCTCAGACATCAGACATCGGCCATCGGACATTGGACATAACACATCGGACATCGCATACAGCACACCGGACATCAGACATCAGACATCGGACATCAAATATCGCACATTAGACATCAGACATCGGTCATCTAAAATCGGACATCGGACATTGCACACCGAACATCAGACGTTAGACATCGGACATTAGACATCAGACATCAGACATAAGATATCGGACCTCAGACATCAGACGTCGGACACCGGACATCAGACATCGGACATCAGACATCAGACATCAGACATCAGACATCGGACATCGGACACTATGTGTGCACGTAACACACTGGACATCAGACGTCAGACATCGGACATTACACACGAGACTTCAGGCATCAGACATCGGACATCAAATATCGGACATCAGAAATACATACATACATACGAAACTTTATTTAACTCCGGATTTTAGGGTAGCCTAAAGGCTAGTATCTCCAATGAATTACACGTACAACATCAAACATAAAAAACATAAAAACATAAACTGGTGGTTAGTAAACGTCTAATTCATGAAACTATGGGAAAAAATGAAAACGCCTAAATTCCTTCAGACTAGTGGTTCTCCTACAAGAACCAGGAAGCGAGTTCCAATATCAGACATCAGACATCGGAAATCGTACATCGTACATCGTACATCGGACATCGGACATCGGAGAGCGGATATCGGACATCAGAAGTCAGAAATCGGACATCGGACCTTAGATATCAGGCATCAGCATCAGATATCAGACATCGGACCTCAGAAATCAGACATCGGACATCAAACATCGGAGATCAGACATCAGACATCGGACATTGGACATCAAACATCAGACATCGGACATCGGTGCGTTGTCCGATATCTGATGTCCGATCTCCGATGTCTGCTGTTCGATGTCTGACGTTTGACCAATGGACATTGGACATCTGAAATCTGTATTCATCCAATTTCTTTTTTAAAAAAAAAAAAAAGCTCGGCCTTTTGGCATGTTACTCTTTTGAGTTTAATTTTGGTCGAGGGATTTCTTTGGGTTTCGTTGGGACTTTTATGGGTTTTTATTTCCCCCTTTTGATCGTCATCCACGTCAGTTTAGCTCGGGAGTCTCCCCTTGGGGAGTAAAAGCGATTCGAGTGCAAATGTTAAGAGTTTATTCCTGAGCACCAAAAATGGAGCACTAAAATCTTTAATTTATGACGTAAATGAAACGAACGCTTAAGCCCCTCCACTTTTCATATGGAAGTCCTCCCGTGAATTAAGACTGTAAAGGGCCCGTTTTTTTTCTTGCCCCGAAATTTTTTCGCTGGCTCACGCTGGCGGTTCAATAGCCGAAATTTTCCCAGAACTCTCACAAGTGAGCCTAAGCCCATTCTCCGTCGATTGCAACCCTTGAATAGTGGGTTTATAGAAGATCCATTGGTCTAAAAGCCCTTAGACACCTTATAAAGTTTACATGATGAGGTATTTCTTACATCTTTACAAGTCAGTGGTTTCTGTGTAACCTGGCTAGGTAGCACTGAGTTTTTTCTCCTTCCCAACATGGTTCCACGCTGGCACACAGACTCCTTAAAAACCAGTCGCCTCCTATTTCTTATCTAATCTCCAAGCAAGCTCGAGTTAACGATTTTTTAGAGTGACTTGTATACTAAGAATTGCATTTCCTCTTCGTCGATGAGAATTTTTCATAAATGTTTTTATCAAAATATTACCGATGGTTTCATATTCTAGTTTCCCTTACTGTGATGACCTAGTTCAATCCATTAATTAATCTTCTTCACTATACATGAACATGCTTTTGGGGTGTAACTTGTAAATGGCAAGACAACAAAATGTAAGTTTTTAGGAGTTTTTAGAAGTCACAGAACATTTGAAATATTGACCGTATTCACTCAGGTAGTCAGTAGCTATGCAAATATCTTGGAACAAAGTTATTAAAAGTTTCTACTTGAGAAGAGAGTTTGACCCCCAAAGGATTATCTTGTTACACCAACATGGCCGCTATTTCACTGTTTTGTACACCAACATTTTTCCGTAATGTCAGGGGGGAATGATCGATGTTAAGGAAGCGATGGAATACAAACTTGAACGCTTGAACACAACTTTAATCCGCTCGATTTACAATACACCGATTTACAACAGGTTGATGTACTGCCCGGGAACCCGACTTACAACAAATCTACGAGCGACTAGCAAGGAAGTCACGTGACGTGTTATCTACATAATTTATTCTACTCTCACAGGTCCAGTCTCACGGGGCTTTTAATGACCCGAGTACGAGTACGACGATGGGCCGTAACATTCTCCCCACCTTGTCCTCCTTCGGGGAGGACAACTCTCTTCTTAGGCTTACGAATAGGTACACTTTTAACATTAACAGAGTTCGCTCGAGGCTTCTCCCCACCGTCAACAGGAACATCAGCTTCACGGATAACTTGTGGGGCCGCTGCATCAATTTCCAATCTGTGTAAGCGTTGAACAGGCCTGTTGAATACACCTTTCTGTGCTTTCACAGTAGCCGTTCGCACGAGTCCGTCCTTACCAGGATGAACCTTTTCCACCCTGGCCATTGGCCACTTGGTACGCGATACATTATCATCAGAGACCAACACGATATCACCTTCTCGAATGGAGGGGTTTTCCTCTTGCCATTTACTTCTCACGGACAGAAGGTGCAGATATTCTCGTTTCCAACGTTTCCAATAGTGGTTGAGTAGTCTCTGTAGGTAAAGATACCTTTCGACAGTTCTTTTACTAGACTCCTCCAAGCTTTCTTCTTTACTCTCAGGTAACTGGTTAATCGGTCTACCAATTGCAAGATGAGCAGGTGTAACCGGCAAAGGGTCTCTGCAATCGTCGCTCACTGCCGTTAATGGTCGCGAGTTGATGATGCCTTCAATTCGAATTAATAATGTGTTCAACTCAGAAAAGGTGAGAAGCGCCTTTCCAAGCACTTTACGCAATGATTCTTTGATTGCTCTGAAAAATCGTTCCCACCATCCCCCTCGCCATGGTGAACGCTCGGTGATGAATTTCCACGTAATCCCTTTCGACGAGAGCTCAGAATTAATTCGATTTCGATCCAATGTATCCCACACCGTTCGACTTTGAGTACTAGGATCATACAATTTCTGGATTTCCTTGCTTGCAGCCTTAAAGGTTTTTGCGTTGTCGGACCACACTGTATGGCAAAGACCTCTGCGGCTTGTCATGCGACTAAAGGCTTGTAGGAACTCATTAGTGGTAAGGCTGTGTGTTAGTTCCAAGTGAATCATACGAGATGATGCGCATGTGAATAGACAAATGTACACTTTCTGTATGGTTAAACCTTCTTTTACATAGAGAGGTCCTGCGAAGTCAGTTCCAACATGCGCGAAAGCTGGTGAACATGAAACTCTCTCCTCCGGCAATGGGCCCATTTTCTGCGCGCAAGGTCCAACTCGCTGTTTTTGGCAAGCCACGCATCTTCTGATAACACGTTTGACTTCTCGTCTCCCTTGGGTCAGCCAAATTTTCTGTCTTAAGGTTGACAGTATGCTTTCTGGGCCCGCATGTAACATGATCTTGTGTAGGTCTAGTACCATCTTTGCGACTTCGGGATGTCCGTGAGGCAATATTACTTGATGCTTGGTCTGTTCAAGTAGATCAGCAAACTGCAGTCGGCCACCAACTCTTATAACCTGATCCTCTCTGTCATAATACGGGTCTAGTTTGAGAAGGCGGCTGTTTTTGGGAAGAGTTTGTCCGGACCTTAGCAACTGGTAATCTTCTTTACAGACCTCTTCCTGTACCCACTTACAACACTTAAGCTCTGCCTTCCTCACTTCTTCTGCCGACAGTTCACTTTCAGAAGACTTACATTTAGTCTTGAACAACTTGACTGCTCTCAGTACATAAGCGGTTACTCGAATCAACTTTAACCATGTACCATAACGCGACATATCAATTAACGGCTCTCTAACGACTGCTGTACAACCATGAGCAATTTTCCTTTCCTCTTCGCATACTTCAGAGGGAACAGTACCGCCTTGGGGCTGAACGGGTAAAGGTTTGTCACTCGAAGACAGCCACCGAGGTCCATTCCACCATAAGGTATTGGTAATCATATCATCACAGCTCAACCCACGCGTCAACAAATCTGCAGGATTCTCCTTACTAGCACAGTACCTCCAACACTCAGGATCCCACGTAGACTGTATTTCTGCCACTCGATTCGCCACAAATGGTTTCCGACGAGAACTCTGACCTTTTACCCAATGCAGTGTCACCATACTATCAGTCCAACACACAACACCACTCACTTCCATAGGCAAAGTGTCTACAACAAACTTCAACAACCTGGCATTTACAACTGCTGCTAAAAGTTCCAGTCTGGGTAGTGACACTTTCTTTATAGGTGCAACTCGGGACTTTGATATTACCAGCTGTGAGGATACATGACCTTGCTTGTCTGCTATTCTGATGTACACTGCTGCTCCGTACGCTTTAGGAGAGGCATCTCCAAAACCATGTAGCTCTATCTTAGAATCTTGCGTGATGCCATTCCCGAAGCATCGGGGTATGGTCACACCTTTCAGTTGCAACAACTCTGACTTCCAATGTAGCCACTTTGCTTTAATTTCACTGTCCAAAGGGTCATCCCACAATAATCCTTTCAACCACAGTTCTTGGAAGAGGATTTTGGCTCTGACAGTGAAGGGAGATATCAACCCTAAAGGGTCAAACATTTTCGATGCTAGACTAAGCAGGCTTCTCTTTGTCATTGGATCTGGAGATAAGACAATTCCACCCGGTGCAAGAAATCGGAAGTGATCAGAGGTTAAATCCCATGAGACTCCAAGCGCTTTAAGGGGTTCACTCGACTCAAACTCCACCAGTGACGATGAGGCTCTTTTGGCTGGGGCAATAGCATCCATTACGAGCTGTGAGTTACTTGCCCACTTTGTCAAGTTAAACGCCGCTTTCATCATGATCTCTGACATGTCTTGTTGAAGTTTCACAGTCGAGTCCACCGTATCGGCTCCTGTTAAGACGTCATCCACATACATGTTTTGTAGAATTTCTTGGACTGCATTTGGGAACAGTTCTGCGTATTTTTTTGCATGAGCATGGACAGTCGAAATAGCAAGGAATGGACTGGAGCTCACACCAAATGTCAGTCTTTGCATTCTATAAACTTTGGGTGTTTCGTTAAATTGTAAATCTCTCCACAGGTACCGGTGAACGTCTCTATCCTCTGGCGCTAGCTTGACCTGAAGAAACATCTTTTCAATATCTGCTATGAGACCAATTCTGTTTGTTCGAAATCGAATGAGTACAGATGCAAGGTTGGGCTGTAAAGCAGGACCGGGAAGGACACAATCGTTGAGAGAAACACCATCTCCTTCTCGCGCGGAAGCATCAAACACGATTCTGCACTTAGTCGTCGTTTTGTCATCACGGAACACAGCATGATGCGGCAGGTAGCGTACAGTTCTATCTTCATCATTCTCGTTAGGCACTACCTCTGCATATCCTTTCTCTACATATTCATTGATTGCAGAATTGTAAACTTTAGCTTTCACAGGGTCATGTCTTAACCTTCTTTCGATGCTTTCCAGACGTCTAACAGCTTGCATGTAGTTACTTTCCAGTTTAGGAGGGTCACGTTTCCACGGTAGTCGTACTTCATAGTTCTTCCCGTCAAATTTCAATCCTCTATTGAAGTCAGCAACAGCAACTTCCTCCTCCCTGGAAATAACAGTGTTTTCAGTCTCAGCGATGCCAATAGATTCCAGTTCCCAGAATCTTTTCAAGCTTTTAGTGAGTCCACTGTTTTCTACAACGGTAAGCATG